CACACACACACACACACACACACACACACACACACACACACACTTTGGAATCGAACTCTCGACTTCAGCATGTGACGGCGAAAAGTTTACCTCAGCAGGTGGGAACAAGCTTGTTCGAAGTCGAGGCCGGATTAATCGATTCCGAATATCTCGCGGGCCAAAACAAGAGGAACGTGGCTGAGACGGCCACTCACTCAAGGGTATTTCTTGAGATAAAATATTAGATGTATATACTGCTTCTGGCTGGGCCTGGGAACATTGGGAACATTGATTTTGATTTTCAAGACGAACAGGCCCCCCCCCCCACACACACACCTTTTTAAAAACATGATTATTTATTGTAGTCATCTCACCATAGGTCAATTTTTTTATTTGCCGACTCGCGGGGCCAACTGTAATAGCTCGTGGGCCAGATGAGGCCTGCGGGCCTAATAAGTTTTCCCATGCCAGGCCTGGTCTAATTAACTACTTCACGACAGACGCCGGACCTAGATCCTGGACACGCCGTGGTGAAACCAGGCGCTCGACAATTTTTTAGCTTGTTAGTTATCCGTATCATCATAAAGCTTGTTTTTGCTATTGCTGTCGTTGCTGTGGGGTTTTTTGGGTTTTTTTTGGGGTTTTTTTGTTGTTTTTTTTGGGGGGGGGGGGGGTTGTTAGGGGTCCTGCGTCCTGATTTTGGTGCTGATAAGGTTACGTAAAATGTGTTGACATGGTGCAATTTGTTATGCTTAGAAAAACAAAACAAGAGAGGGGGGAATTGTTTATTCTGTGATGATGATGATGATGATGATGATGATGATGATGATGATGATGATGATGATGATGATGATGATGGTGGTGGTGGTGGTGGTGGTGGTGTTGGTGGTCGTGGTCGTGGTCGTACGATGATGATGCTGTAATGTTGAAAATGATAATATGAAGGTTAACCTTGGTGTTTGTTAATTTTTCTGTTTGGCGTTTTCTCTAGATCCCACAGGCTGGCCTGGGAGGCAGGATACATCCCCCATTCCCAACTCCTCGCACAGAATTACCAAAAATTTGGAAATAAGTCGTCCTCTTTATCCCTAGAATTAATTATTTTAAAAAAGTATCCCGAAAAATCACATGAGGCGCTTCTTTAAGTGATGACATTGTAAGTGAGTTTGTTGTAGGCTAACTTGGGTGCTTACAAGTTATCACTGTCGGCATTCGTCACCAATCCTAAGATACTTCTGTGATCGTCGGAGCAGGTATCATTATAAAGCTTATTCTCTTGTCTAACTTGGCTGGAAAAAAATACTCACATTTATTGAATAGAAGTTTCGATATTTGCAATTGAAGAAGTTTGGGTCCCCAAGTTTCAGGGGTAAAATCAGCAAGAAAATGGCCAGCAAAGTTGGGTGAATGACAAGGCTTGAGAGTGCTTGGAAATTGTCAATGTACATTTCTTGTACGTATAATCAACGTTTTTCCTGTAAAATCAACACATAATGTCATTAAATGGACACAAAACGTTTTGAGCAAACCCCCCCCCCCTCCAAACAAATCACCAAAAATTCGATAAGAATTACCAAACGAACGGAGGAACGGAAACTAGATTTCGTTATTTTGACGTGCGCCTGATTTCACCGCCTCCCAAAATCCACCCCCTCGTCCATCGTCGCGGGAGGTAGAAACGGACAAAGTAGGGGATTGTTGGAAGATGTATGGCGTGGGTTTTACTCACATGACCGCTACAGTAGCCCTGAAGACCATCCCGGGTCACCCTGAAACGTCCGGCTAACGGGGCTCCGGTGAAACCACGACAGGCCTAGCAAGCTGGTGGCGGATTATTTATTGCTAAAAAAAATCTTAGGAGAAAGAATCGGACGGACCAAAACGGAAAACGACCAGGAAACGGAAAAGGACAACGAGAAAGGACGAAGCAGAACTCATGGCAACCTTAAAATCACCATCAACTGAAATACGCTGAAACAAAGCAGCGAGTTCAAGTATCTTGGTAGCATCTTTTCGGAAGACGGACGTCTCAACAGAGAAATTGAGACGAGAGTACGAAATGCTAACAGCGTCAGCTACCAGCTTGCCCCACTCCTTAAATATCCTAACATCCCCATTGAGACCAAAGCCAAGCTCATTGACTCTATCTTCTTTCCCATCTTGACCTACCAGAGCCAGACATGGACCCTGACTCTAAAGTCTGGAACGTAAGATAAACATCTGCGAGATATGAGAGCCGTCTACAAAACCAGACGGGACATGGCCAGAAACAACAAGATCAGAGAAATGGTGGGAACAACACCTGTCCTGTCCTCCGCTATATATGAAGGCAAACAATCAAATGGATTGGACATCTCACACGTATGGCACCTAACCAGCTTGTCAGTAAAGTCTACTACAGGAAAGTATCAGGGTACAACTGAAACATGGCAAGAGGAAGACCAAGAAAGACCTGAATCCAGGGTGTGAAGGACACCCTGAGAACATACAATATCACACCCAGCCAGGCCATCAAACTTGTGAAAGACAGGAAGCTCTTTCTCCCCTCGACCCCATAGATGTACAAGAGGACGGATAGAGTAAAGTAAAGCCTGATTTCATCACGATGTCTTACATTAACTTACTGATGACTCGCGTTCTGTCAAACGAAATTGCTCGATGACTCGCTGTTTAGGGTCACTACTTCCTTGTCCATACAGAATAACGTTTTTCCTTTCTATTTTCTTGATGTAAAACATAAAAAGACAGGCAACAGCATACAAAGATCGACTATTGAAAGTGTAAATTCATTTTTCAGATTTGAAATTTGAGTATGGTAGTATGGAATGTTCTAAAACGTCATATTTTGGTCGGCTGCTCATCGATTGTAATAAAATACATGTGAAACATATCATGTGTGAAAGATGGAGGGTCATTACAGGTCAACCATTGAGTCAGAGATGACAACTCCAGGTATCCAGGTATATCATAATTGTGTCTTCTACACCCATAAACAGTTACAGAGAACACCATATTGACCCCCTCTCTCCCTAGCGACAGGCCAGACGTCTGTTCCAGTGGATCATTAAAAAAACACAAGATGGTTTATTGTCTCTGGCTTTCTCCATCCTCTGGCATTAAGGTCGTTGCTCTCTCCGAAGAGCAACAGTAAGGTTGACAGCGCATTTTAACTACTTTTATTACATGCCAAGCCAATGTTTGTGAATGGTAAGCACAAAACAAGACAAAATCTTTTTCTTATGTGTCATTTGCTCGAAGTAGAATAGATCTAGTTACTACATCAGAATGAAGGGCGGATCATCATGTATAATGTTTCTATGAAAATGGGACACGCGAAAATCTGTAACCCGAAACTGTCACATAAAGCAGATAGAACCCTTTTCATCTCACACGACAGATTGTTGTTTACGCCTCCACTGGAGGCTCGAGATCAGTGAATTACAACCTGCCTAGGTCTGACGGGCCATTTCACTGCTCGCTCGTGATCTTTATCAAACATATACATCTTCTGGAGAGGAGGATCGTGCGCTCGGTGCCTATAATCATCATCATCATTTTTATAATTATTATAATTATTATAATAATTATTATTATTATTGTTGTAGTTGTTGTTGTTGTTGTTGCTATTATTACTAGACTGGAACTCGGATTCAACGAGGTTGTTCGGCCTGGCCTTCAATTATGCTGAATCCGATCGTTGTACTCCCTCCTCCAATCTCCCCCAGATACACACGTGTTCTGGCCGCCCATTATACCCCGACAGACGATAGCCTAAGACATGGGTGCG